TTTTTTTTTTTTTTTTTTTTTTTTCAATTTTGATATTTTCGTGATGGATTGTGCTCTTGAAGCTTAATTGATCTATACCAAAATATGAGAATGTGCTCTGATAATTCCTACATGTCAGCTTCCTGTATACTTGAGAACGTATGCACTTGAGCAAATGGTCCAAGCTGCAAGTTCATCTGCTGGGCTTCGGACTATCAAGCGAGTTGAACAAACATTACAAGATCTTTCGGTTAGTTAACTCTCCAGTTTTTGTTTAATGCAAATATTTGTTATCTCTTAAAGTGGTGGTTGGTGGAAGATTTAACTATGGTACCAACAACATAGTAGCTTGTGAGAAGAAAGAAAAAAACAAAGCAAATAGAAAGTTTCTTATGTTTTGAATTTTTATTCTTGGCTATCAAGAACACCCAAATACTGCTGGTGGTGGAATATGCTTTTTTTTCCTTTGTTTTTCAAAGCAAAAACTCATTCCACTTGGAAGCATGTAGTGCATAACTACAGAACAATATTTCATGGATTGAATCAAGCAAATTGTGTTTTTTGTCAATCTGTTAGAATTTTTTCAGTAGTCATTTCCTCCCCAGTGCTCTTCATGCTCTAGAGTTACATAGTTGTATAGTTCGCTCACAAAGGATGTTATTATTTTTATTGTTATTTATAATTAGGTTAATCTAAAGCCGAGGGTTCCAACAAAATCAGTGTGTGCAGAACATCTTGAATTGAGGAAAGAAATATTGACTCTACTGAATCTTCAAAAGCAGGTATGGTTATATTTTATTCATATGCATGTCCCAGCAGTAACAAATTGATGTAAATCAAACTTGCATTAATTTTCCGCTCATAACAGTGGGTTTAATTTTTCTTCTCATTTGGAGAGAATTCTCAGCAAAGGAATTCTTTATTGATGGAACTGACTTAAGTCAAATGCTATATGCCTTTAACATACTTTAAGTCCAATTTTTGTTGCCATTTCCTGTTTCTTTCAAACAGTTGCAAAATAAGGAGGCAGAAGGTTCATCTTTCCGTGAGGGTCCCTACAACGAGGCACCTGGCACACCCAAGGTCAGTAAATGCCCTCGCTTTCATGAGTGCTGCAATTCTGTCATATCTTTGAATGTAGATCTTCCTCTGCTAACAGCATTCTTGTCATGCTCTGGTGCAGGATCGTAGTTTTATTCCTGATTCTATGAGTTCTGGAGGTAAGTGGATTCTGTAATAGAACTTCGATGTTTGGCCTTACTGCATGCATCTCTTTGGAGTGCTACATTTAATTCAAGTTATTTGAAGCTATCTAGTTTCAATTAGCGTTTTAAAAGTGTAAAAATCATTATTTGCAACTTGCTTCTCACTTGCCAAGAGGTGAGATGCACAAGCAAAGCATCAGCTGGCTGAAGCATGACACCTTAAAGTTGAAGGTCTTAAACAACGTCATTTTTTTTTCAATGAAGATAAGTAATTATTTCTCTGATATATAGAATGTACAAAAGGAAAGATGAAAGAATGCCTACAACTTTAGAGGAAGATTTTGGTTCTTTGAAGAAGTTCTATTTATACCCTATCAAACTTTGGCTACATGCCACCCTACAACTTTAGAGGAAGATTTTGGTTCTTTGAAGAAGTTCTATTTATACCCTATCAAACTTTGGCTACATGCCACCAATGGGAAACAATCTTGGAGATCGCCTTCCTTATTCCTCCTCTTGTTGTAGTTCATCCAAATCCTTCTTTAACTATTCTTCACTCTATTTTAGCCCATTGAAGTGTATTCTCCTGTAGCTCCTTTGGTCGGGCTTCTCTTTCCATTATTTTGTACAGATAATTCTTCGGTGAAATTAGTTTCTATCCCCTTTTAAAAAAATTAGGAATGTAAGAAAATTGAGGTGTACGTCTGTATTCAGGTTTTTTCTCAGTTAAAGGACTGGAAGTGAAGTTTATGTTATCCCCCTTAAAAGGAATTCTATTATTTTTGTCGCGAAAGTTGATTTACATGTATGTTTTTCTTCTGATAGGGGAAAGGTCTGGCAAACGGGATCAGAAACGTAAGGTGTGTTTTGTCAACTATTATCTTGTTACTTCTTGAGTTTTCATCGCTCTGTATTTTGTTTTGTGTGTCAAATTCTTTTTCTTACTTAGGTTAAATTATAATATAAGAAAAAATATTGTGAACTTTATATTTTGTTTAAAAATCCCCCTAATCTTTCAAAAGTTCTAATATTATCCTTAGATCTTTCGTTTCGCAACATTTCAAGAGTAGAAATCTGTTAGAGTGCTAAAAAAAAAAAAACCACATGGTGATAACCTAGAATGTCATGATTGTGACAATGACGCTTGTTTAGATTAAGTCTGAAAGAACGACATTTCGATATGTCGATTTTTTATCCAACATGCTGACAATTTTCCTATTTAAGGAAAATTTTGAAACACTTGTAAAAGTTGAAGGGTAATATTACAACTTTTGAAATATTAGGGGTATAATTTAAACAAAGGGCAAAAGTTAAAAGGGTATTTTTGTTTTATAATTCAGCCTTCTTATTTATTATTTATCAATTATGGTCATTAGGCAACTGGGAGATTATCTGAAGCTCCATCACCACCAGCTCAAACTAAAAGGCCAAGAAAACAGAAAGGATCTGATCTGTGATTCTCCAGGCGTGTAAGAAATTTATGGTTGTATCTCTAGATTGTATGCGCCTAACCACCCTTTTTTAATAGAAAGAAAAATGAAAAGAACACAAGTCCATGAAGTGGAACCTCCTTTTGTCCTTGTTTCTATTGAATCATTGATGGTAGGTTTAACATATGTAAATCTATGATGGCTGCATATGGTTTCATCATCTTACGATATCAATTACAATTGTATGCATCTAAAAGGCTCGAGCTCGAGCAGGTCACTTTCGCTGGAAGGCACATCTTCATCACAAAGCCAAAGCTCTGGTTTTGTAGGTCTATTAGCTAGACTTGTCTTTCTTCAGAAATGAGGAAAAATTACTTTCTTTTTTATGGTGCATTTTTGTGTTTTTTACAATTACTTCCTTCACATAAGCACATTGAGATCTCTACATTCCTATTCTGAAAAGATGAGCACCAGCAACATTTCATAAATGCAGCAGCTATACATAATTCCCTTGCTTCAATAACTTGGGAAAGGGAGAGTTTATATTATCTGGGGTTCTTTCTTGAATAGCTGCTTTAATTCCTGTGCCGATTAGATTCAAGGCCCTCATACTTCAAGAGCCAGTCAGCCACTGATGATCAATATTTTACTTCCACGCTCTTGCTGTAGTTCCTTATGGCGAGCCTCAACATGCCAAGGTGACTATTTATTGCCTCTGTTTATGCAACATTCAGCATTAATACTAAATGCCCGACTCATTGCAGGTCAGTCTGTTTTTGTTTAGACATCAGTAATCAGCATAAGAATGAAGGCATTAGTGAAAACTCGATTAACTCGTTTTGTGTTTGTTCATTTACAGATAACTCACCTTGAATGTCGTCTCATTTGGTTCTTCATCATATGCTTGGCGTATTTCCTTCACGAAATCTCCGAACCTTTCCTTCCATCCCCGTTCAATTTCCATCTTCAGGGTGCTTTTTGAACTGGGGCAGCTATCGCTTGCGCCTGAAGATCGGTTCAGACTTGGTTAAGTCTTTAGTTAAGAAAAGGTTATCGTTGTTTTCACTTTCAACAACTTACTTGTTCGAAGGTGAGAATAAGTGTCATATTAATCGCATTACGAGTCTAGAAAGAGTGTAGTTGGGACATAAACTGGATTAACTCGGATTAACTTCTATACTATAAGTTCAATTTATCTCAAGTTAGTATATCGTATGTTAACCAGTGCACGGCTAGATATCACCATACCCACGTCCCTTGTGAGCAACATGGATGTGATTTTTCCCAATGATAGGGGAACCATGTGAGGGTATTGCTTGAAACAACCCATGCACTTACTTGGAGTTCTTCCACCCACAAATCATATCAATTGCTAACTAGGTAGGATTGTTCGAGATGCCTTCGACGTAAGCTTGGAACATTAAATCACGAACTTGATCCCAAGCGAAGGATGTGAATAGCTAAGCTCCGTTGTACGTGTTGCAATTTTTTGGATCATATATTAGATCAACTAGATGTGGAGTATCTTTAGATCACCATATAATATCTCAGACGTTCAAGATTGATCTTCATTTTTAATGAAAAGGTTGTCGTGATTGTGCTTGAGCTATTACAAGTCGATTAAATTTGTTAGTAAAAATAAAATAAAAAAGAAAAGAAAAGAAAAGGAGCATGCCATTTCCATTGCTTCCCAAAAGGCCGTTGTAGTATCCATTTGCCACTCCAAAAACGGTCAACAATGGGTTTTAGCTTTTAACACAGACCCAATCCAAAAGCCAAAAGCCAAAATCCACAAGGTTTTTTGTTTTAGTGCCGCCACCGCAGGATGGGGGAATTCGATTCCCCTTCAACCCACCTCCACCGTCATCCTCGCCCACCCTTCACCGTCGGCTCTGAAATTGAGATCTCCATTAACGAAGAAGGTTTTAAGGGCGCATTGTTCCGAGCCACCATTCTGAAGCTCTCCACTACCTTTTTTCCTTCGACGACGAAGAAGGCCTTTGTTGAGTACAAGACCCTTGTCACTGAAGACGGGTCTAAGCCTTTGAAGGAGCATGTTGATGCCCATAATTTGAGGCCTATTCCGCCTGATATCGCCGATAGGGATTTCGAGGAAGGCGACATTGTTGATGCAGCTGATAAAGATGGATGGTGGACTGGTGTGGTCTATAAGGTTTCTGAAGATGGTGGATACTCTGTTTTCTTCAAGAATCCAATGCATGTCATGGATTTTCAAAGGAAACAGTTGAGATTGCATCAGGATTGGGTTGATGGCAAGTGGCTTGTCCCCAAAAAAATGGTAAACTTATCTGGGTTTGCTTTTGATGCTCGAACGAATTAATTGTTAGAATCAGAAGTGCGTTAGGCGTTTTTTCTCTGTGTTTTGTAGGCATTTAACGCTGTTCATTTTGTGGATTCTAAGTTGAAATGAGTGATTGTTCACTTACTAGCTCGATGCATTTTGCTTGGTCAGCTGCTAGGTTCTGTTAGACTTGTTAGAAAACTGGTTGACGAAGATCATAACTGCGGTCCAGCTTCTTCGTTGTTGGATCTGTTTTTCTTTTCTTTTTTGTGTTGGTTTGATTAAAGATTCCTGACGAACGTACTCTAATTTAAAATGGTATCAAACGATTCTGGGTGTTCTTTTGGCCACTAAGAGTATCTAGTGATTTTGTTGCCACCAATGGTAAGTTTGAAGGTGTAGTTTAAACTCCAACAATACATTCTTTTTCTTGAAGAAAGTTCCATCCATTTGCAATTAAGGAAGGTTCCTTGGTTGAAGTTTAGTGTGAAGTTTAAGCTTTGTTATAGGCATGGTTGGTGTAAGAGATTTTGGAAGTCTTTGGAAGGTATCTTTAGGAACAGCCTTTTCGCTTCGTTGTTGGAATGTGGGTATGGATGGAAATCAAGTCATGGTAGGGTTGGGGACGGAGAATATATTCACGCAAATCATTTGTGATTGATCTACCAAACTGAGGGTAACATCTCAAGTATCTATGAGAATATTTTTCTTTGAGAGTTCTGGGTGAACATTTCAATTTGAGGAGGCAAACTGCTGTAGGGTTTGTAGCTAGCCTGGTTAGTATCATTTCTGATCATTTATTTGGTCTAGTTATAACTGCTGACGTGTGTGTGAAACAAAGGCTCATTAAGAATAAAAAGTTATGTGTATTGACATATTAGAGCTGGAAGGCCTAAAATCTCGTTGTTGTACGGTTTACAAGTTACATCCATTCCAAAGCTTCGTAGTTAGAAAGCATGCACCATGAAATATGTAATTTCTGATATTATGCTATAGCTGGTTTTTTTTTAAACTTTTAGGAGAACAGAAAATGGTTTTACCACTTGTATTTCTCCGAAATGCAGAATCGACATCAATCACTCTCTTTGACAAAATCCCACTTTTTGTAACGAGCAATTAGCTTCCCGTCATGTAACTAGGCTTCATCTTTGATTAATTATCCTTCTTTATAATTATGTGGTTCCCTTCTAATTTTCCTCATTGTTTGGAGATCATTCACCGTGAAATATTTCATTTGAACTTTTTATGGGAGTTGTTATGGTGAAAGGTAATACCTGATATCTCTAGCTGTGCAATAGTTCTGCATAATTGTGTAGTCCATGTTACCTAATTTTTTCCATTGCTTTACTTGTATTATCATTGAGAACTTTGATATCACATTGAAAGTCATGTCTTCATTAAATACATTTACTTGAGGTTGAAACAATTATTTCCTGTTTAGGATGCATCAATCTTGAAAGATCAGTTGGCTACCATTTTGGAGGTTGCTAATATACCTGAGAAAACCCAGACTGAAAGTTTAAAAAATGCTGAAACTAACCATGAAAAGGGAAACTCAAGGAATGATTTAGTGGAACAGTCAAGTATTTGTGAAGAAAAGTCTGCCTCATTTGCCTTGACCTCGAGCAAGAGAAGAAGTCTGAGTTCTAAGGCAAGAGTTTCAAATTCTGTAAAGAAGTGGGGAAAAGGAAATGTTCCTGGGGCACCAACAGCAGATGGGTTGAAGGAGACAGAAAGCAAAACATCGAGGGGAAAATCATCCAGTAAAAAAAATGCCACATCGAACAGAGGTCGTAAAAGAAGAACCTACCATAATTTTCATTGTGACGATAACAGCGACTCACCTGGTAAATTTAAGAGTTCGAAAGGAGACATGAAAGCGGTAATTTGTCTCTGTTCTCCGAATCCTTCATTACTTATTTATTAAATCTAATTTATAGCAGTCCGAACCTCATCTGGGAAATTGTCATATTTTAATTAAAGGAAATCTATCTAGATTATTGTCATTTACTTTTGCTTTTATGTATCAAAGTGAACTTTCCAAGAGCTGAACTAAGGTCACTGACTTGAATGTCCCAAAATTTCCTTGGGCAGTATATATGTGAAGTTCCTCCTCATTTCCTCGGTTTTTTCTACTTGCCATCGCTTATACCATTAAATCAGTTAAAATTATTGTAGGGCATTCTTCTCTTTATTATTCATGTTACCATGATTTTAAACTATTGAACATGATACTTCTCATTTCATGTGCAGAGAACTGAAAAAGATGTTGATGGAAATGATGAGTTGAAAGAGCAAGGGGCAAGATTCATAAATGGTAACCGAGGAAACACTTTTGAACAAAGCCAGTGGATTCAAGTTACAGGTACACAGGCTGTCCTTTTTTGCTTGAATAACTCTTTTATTCTGCATTTGGCTTGGTAGATGAGGAAGGGAAAGAAGATTGTGATGTCTTAGTGGTCACTCATAAAGAAGTAAGTACAAGCAACGAATCTGAAGGGAATAAACATTTAGCATCTGAAGAGAAACAGACGACACCGGCTGAAACTTCTATTCACGTTTCTGATGAGGTTAAAGGTGGAGAGAAAAATTCAAATAATCAGACAGAAGAGAAGGGCTTGGTAAGAAAACTAAACACAATTAACTTGATATAAATTAAATGGATTTTAATAATGAGCATCTTTTATCATGACTAAACCTTGTTACTAATTAACTACTGTATTCGATTTTATAAAAGCAATATAGATATGGACGATTCTGTTTGTTTACTTGTCTGAATCACTCTAAAAGTTATGAACAAGGTAAGAAAGAGATGCAATGAAGAAGAGGATAGGATGAAAATGTGGAGGCATGATTTCTAATTGGTTTCAAGGTTGCTAGTTGAGCAGCCTTTTTGAAGTCTATCAACTAAGAATCCTCAGTGGGTTTCCTTGGATAATATAGGACGACACCAACTCGTCTTTTCTCCTATAGATTCTCTCAAGGGAAGAAAAACAATATTCGTATGAGACCCCCTGTTTCCCTGATGAAAAGACGAAATTCTTATGGATATCAATTCTACAGAGTTAAAGCTTACTCAAAAGCTTGATATACTGCCAATTATTTGTTATCGAAGGAATACCTTATCCATCTGAGCTATAGCCTACACTGATCATTCCAATTTTCGCTGAAGAGGAGACAAGATCCTCATTGATCCTGTTTCTATAACTGGTACTTGCATTTCCTAACCACAAAGTACCCTCCCCCTTATTGTATCAGTTAAAATTGCTTCAAACTGAAACCACAAGATGGCTAATGAAGAGATTCCTCTAAGGATGTATATTGCTTCAAACTGGAAAAGTTGAAGAAGCTATAAACAATGATTGTACGGTTGAGCATGAAAGAAATGAAAGATACTCGAACCTCTAAAACTCTAAAGTTTACTAAGTTATCCTTCATATTTCATTTCTTTCACCAGTTTGTGAGATTGGGTGTATGTTTCGATTTACGTCTTCGGTGAGCTTAGAGTTTGATAGGATTGATGATGTGTATCGTCTCTCAGGAACCTGACCAGCAACAAGCTAGTAAAAACAGTAACAAAAGAAAGAGGGGACGGCCTAAAAAATTGATGATAGTTCCAATAACTGCTGAAGGTATCCTGTTATTACCTGTGATTGAGGAGTTTTATTATTATTTATTATTTATTAACTTTATATTACAAGTAACTATGATTAACGTAGTGCTGTTTTTGTGTTACAGATAAGGAGCAAAATGGAATTGGATGGAAGCCCGACGAAGCAACGATAAAAAGTTGTGTAACTGGTGAGGCTCCTGATCTTTAATCTCAGATGTGTATCTGCCACCTTTCTGTCATAATCTTTTCATTAGTCAAAAGAACAAGAAGGAGCTTAGTAGATTTTCATAATCATTGAATGTCTTCTGTAGATTTTCAATTGAATAGAAAGAATTTGAATAAGCTCTCCGCGTACAAGACAAATGAAAACGGACCTAAAAGTGCATCAAGCAACATTGATGACGACGATCGACCCCTTCTAATGTGGCTTGGGGGAATGCAAGGTTCAGCAAGCAACAATTCATTGAGTATGTATACAAAACTTAAGCTAGCACATAGGAATTTAGTACTGTTTGTGGTGATTTTGATTGTATTTGTTTCCATTTTAGAGTTAGGACAAACACCTGGTTCTACTGGCAGGCGAAGGACAAAAAGGAGGGAACAAGTAGACGTTCCGAATGAGGTTGTAAAGTCGGACCATGCACTGGACAGGAATCAAGGTTGGCCTTTCGTAAAGAACTCGCCTGTCTGGAGCGCCATTGATTCTTTAGAAGTCTTCAAACTAATTCCACAAACGCCTCATTTCTGCCCTTTAAGTACATACAAGGAGGAATGTCGAGAAGGATTGGCTATCGGTTGCATGGTAACTTTTGCAAGTTTGGTTGAAAAGATATCCAAACTACAGTTCGATAATCCGAGACACGTTTTTGAAAGCTTGTTAGCCAGTCTATTCGAATTGGAGCAACATGGGTTCAATATTTCAATGCTCTGCAATCGCGTAAACGAGCTGCTATTTATCAAAGATACTCAAATGCGATATCTAGAGGAAACAAAAGAAGCAGAGATGAAAATATTGGAGCATACCGAAAACAAAACTAAGCTTACAGAAGAGAGCAAGGCTATTGAACAGAAGATTGCAGAGCTGCAGAAGAGACAGACATCAATCCAATTGGAACTGGAGACTAAAGATGCCGAGATCGAGGCACTACAATCACGTGTGGAGACCATCAGAGGAAGTACAGAGGATACTAAGAAACATTTTGAAAGGCAGACTGCCCTCCCGTTGTAACCAGATCGACGATCTTGGTTACGAATATGATCCTACACCTTATGATCTACACCTCAGGTGGTCTCATGTTCGTGATCATTTTGTGAATGGTAGTCGTAGACTTTAGAAGTTAACGATAACTCGTAACTGCAGTGTTTGACGAGGAGGCCTGCCTAACATTCTCCATTTGTGTGTTGCTTAGATCACTTTTTTTAAGTTTGTCTGCAGAAAAGGATCAATGCAGTGTCGATAAGAAAATTGGGATGTAAACTGATTCAATTATAACAGTTGTACATTTATGAAATGTTTGTGCTGCAGTGTTTGAAACATGGGCTATGATCATTTCTAATTTTTGAGATCAGCAATGAAATACCATTGCGTTGGAGAATCAAAACCTAGCAAGTATATCATTTCAAGAATATATTAACCCTAAAGACACTGACCTATTAGAGTATATAGAAATACAACCAATTTCTTCCCAGGTGATTGTGTCCATTAGCTGATGATTATCCGCCATGGACGAACGGATTAAGGTTCTTGGATGCCCACCACTCATCACCCAGAAAAAAAAGAAAAGAATACTAAGTTGGAATCTCCTAGGATGGTACAAGCTTAAAAAGTAAAAACTCATTTTCTATTTCTGCTTTCTTCACGATCCTTTTCCCACTTCTTGTAAAGCCTTTCAAGAACACGCTTGGCCTCACATTGAGGGAAGTTCGCCAGATCATAATAATGTGCTGCTACGTCCAATAGCCTGTTGGGACCAGAAATTTGCAAGTTAGGCCTCTATAAATAATGACAAGTTCTCAAGAAAGAATGGATCAATGTTTGCTATCAGCATCATTTGTGCCGAAGTATGCATAAGACCCGCAAATATAGCAAAAGAGGAACTAACCATTCACCACGGATGTCTGTCACTGTACGGATGAAATTCCTACTTGTTAAGACGTATTCGTTATAAATGACCCACTCTGGTTTATGGTCCAAGCAATTTGATGGATGTAAGTGTACCACCTGCAGAACACAAATTTGTCAATTCCAGACACGAGCATGCGCATGCAGGATTTACCGTGTGCGAGTATACCAAGAACAAGCATATACCCAAAAAGCAAACCAAGGTATAAAGGAACGACATCTCCATACCTGGTTGTCCTTCACTGTCAAGTAGTGTCCAGTCCGCTCCAAATGAGCCACTTGCATGAAATACCCAGAAAGCATAGCCTTTCGTATGTTAACGTAGTAGTCACGGCTGTTGAAATCTGTGCTGCATAATTTGAGGTTATACCTAGCCATGATGCGGACTAGTTGCTCTCTGACATTATCTGCGGCCTTTATTGCCCTGTGATTGACAAAGTTTTCATAACACCATGATTGATCCTCATCTGCAACACACGAATTACTTTAGGAAATCATCAAAATTTGAAGTACTTAATTGCACAGCAAAGAGTGAGAACCATGGACACTTACTGTTTTGCTTGTAAGCATGGTACACGTTCAAGAGCGTTAGATGATCTCCATCAATGTGGCCAAACCTAGCTTTTGCTTCATCAGCAGCCTTCTGAGCCTCCCTAGGCCGGACAAAGCAATTGGGTACTAAGAAAGAAATTGGTAATCACACACAGAGGAGGCCCAGGGAAGGTCAGCAGATGCATAGATGCAAGAGACGAGACCGTTTGCTTCATGAGATAATACTGAGAAACTGCAACTAACTACATCAGCACTCACTGAGAAATCTTATGGTGCATGCCATCTGAGGGCATGGAACCAGAGAAGATGCTGATGACAACCTAATTCGACAGAATTGTGCTCTAACAACATGCACATGAAACCACATACATGTCGACTAGTTTAGAGACATGGCAGATATACTGCACACATGCCACGCCAATAAAAGTGCACCAAAGTTTGATCCATCCTGCCCATTGTTGTAACACCCATGGGCATCTGGCGTACACACTAGAACTCTATAGAATTGGGAAACAAAAAAAAAAAAAAAAAAAAAAAAA